GCCGCTTGGCTACCGGTAGCAGAGAGGGAATCGGGAGCAAAGCTGAAAAGCTTCCAGTCAGACGGAGGAGGCGAGTACACCTCTCAGCGCTTCAAGCAGTACCTGGCGGAAAGGTGAATCAAGCAACTCCTTTCCCTTCCCTACGCCCATGAGCAGCAAGGCATTGCAGAACGAATGAACAGGACTCTGCAGAACAGCATGCGCAAACTGTTGCGTGGCATGCGGCTACCCAACCACCAGTGGCCTGCAGCAATGGACCACGCTGTCATGCTGCACAACTTGCTTTCATCGTCATCACTCCCGAACAACGCGTCACCACATCTGCTGTGGACAGGGAAGCAGGGCAGCACAAAAATGTTACGAGTTTTCGGGAGCATGGTACAGTACCGACCCCCAGAAGCACGCGCGGGAAGATTTTCCCAACGGGCACAGTGGGGACTACACCTCGGCATCGAGAAAAATTACAACGCATGGAAAATCTTCGACGTCCACTCAAAGGAAACAGTGGCAGCACGTGATGTGATCTTCTACGAAAGACTCACCCTTCAGACGTACCTCGCCAACTTGCACGAGAATCCGGACCCCACAGGTGGCTTTCGTGGTGACCGAGCCTTCGCCTCAGCAGCGGACGAAGCAGACTGGGATGAACAGAACGTTGACAACGCATCGGAGGAAGCCGGACCTCTTCCGTTCTGCTCCGTCGACGTGCCTATGGACGAAGAAAATCCTCGCGAAAGTAACAACGCCGAAGTCTTCTATCACTTCGCCGACACTGGTTACGTAACACCTGCAACAGCCAACACCAACGAAGCAGAAAGGATAGGGCCAAATTTCATACCCGATCCAGAAGCGGGAGACGAAGCAGCCTATCCCGAGGACACAACTCTCCCCCGCTACTCACAGACCGGACTGCAAATCCTCGGCCTCGTCACCGCCGTCCATGGCTCTCCTCTTCCTAAAGAGCCTGCGACGGTTCAGCAGGCTCTGGGGGGGGAACACAGAGAGAAATGGCGTGAAGCCATGGACAGAGAATTAAAAGCACTGGAGGAACGCAACACCTGGAAGGTCGTTCCCGCAAGCGTGGCAAGGAACAAGACCATTCTCACCGGGAAGTGGGTCTTCCGCATCAAAACGAAAGCAGATGGTACAATCGAGAAGTTCAAGGCACGATGGGTCGTGCGAGGATTCGACCAGGAGCAAGGGCGAGACTTCACCGAGACATTCGCCCCAGTCAGTCGACATACCTCACTCCAAATTCTTCTCGCCGTCGCCGCCATGAAGAAGAAGAAGCTGCGACAAATTGATGTCGCCAATGCCTTCCTCTACGCACCTGTCGACGCCGACATCTTCGTCGAGCTCCCTCACGGCACCCACGGGGAACCCAATCAAGTCTGCCAACTGCTAAAGTCCCTCTACGGAATCAAGCAGGCCCCACGGCTGTGGCAACAGCACCTGCACACCCGCCTCATCCGCATCGGATTCCGCCAACTGCCCCATGACCAGGGCATGTATCGACTCACTAAAGGCGCCAACTACATCCTACTCATTGTCTACGTCGACGATCTCCTCTACATCGGCTCCACCGACGACATCACCGCTTGGTTCGAAGGGGAGCTGCAGAAAGATCTCACGCTCACTGTCTCCTCTACCGTCACGCAGTACCTTGGACTCAACATCCGCGAAGAAGAAAACGCAATCTATCTAAGCGCCGAGAAATACGCCGACACGATCGCCAAGCGCTTCTCGCTCACACCTACCGCTATTGCCACACCATACCGCTACACGGCAGGAAACGGCCAAGGAAACTCCGCCCTACTCAAAGCTGCCGGAATACGCGACTACCAGCGAAAACTGGGCTGTCTACTCTTCGCAGCCGTCACCTGTCGCCTAGACCTGTCCTATTCCACTAGCAAACTTGCTACTTATCTCAAAAGGCCTGAAGTAGATCACCTGGCAGAGCTCGATCGCGCACTGCACTACCTCGTGAGCACGCCGACGATCGGCCTGACTTACTACAAGAACGAAGCTGCGTCAACGAAGCTAATCGGCTATGTCGATGCCGACCATGCCGGCGATCCAGAAAACAGGCGCTCTCGCACCGGCTACGTCTATCGTCTCGAGCCTATCGGACCTATCTCCTGGCAGTCGAGTAAGCAGGTGTCAGAATAATATATAGTTTTATATATTGTTTTGTAATTGCCTGTAGTGTAGACTAGTGTAGTTATATAATGTTCTGTTTTGGTGGTGCACCTTTCATTTTGCCTATATGTACTGCTCGCTCTATAGTGAAACCTCCTCCTTCTCTTTCAACTTTCTCGACTCTTCTAAACTTACTCGAACTCAACTAGCTATGGCTCCTTAGCCTAGCTCAAGTTTCCACATGTTATCAGAGTGACAAGGTCCTGACCTGTGGGCCCCACTTTGAAGCTTCCGCTGCTACTCTTTGTTTGGCACGCCCCGTGGCGTGCCCCTTATTCTTTTCGTCGCGGCCCCGTCGCCCTAGCGGCCCCGTCGCCTAGCTCTCACTTGCGGCCCCGTCGCCGCCCTCAGTTGCGGCCCCGTCGCCACCTTCACTTGCGGCCCCGCCGCCTTCACTTGCGGCCCCGTCGCCGCCCTCAGCTGCGGCCCCGTCGTCGCCCTTACCAGCGGCCCCGTCGCCGCCCTCACTAGCGGCCTCGCCGCCCTCTGTTGCGGCCCCGTCGCCGCCCTCGGCCCCGGCCTCGTCGCCGCCCTCGGCCCCGGCCTCGTCGCCACCTGTGGCCTCGTCGCCACCTGCGTACCCGCCCACATTTGCGGCCCCGCCGCCCTCTGTTGCGGCCCCGTCGCCGCCCTCGGCCCCGCCCCCGATGTCACCTTCGGCCCCGCCAACTGAGGCCCCGTCGCCCACCCTTGCGGCCCCGTCGCCCACTTCGGCCCCGCCCACTTGCGGTCCCGCCCCCCCCCTTCTTCCCGTCACCTGTCGAGGCGACCTGAGGGGGCCGCCTGAAAGGGGGGGGGAGTCGTTGCCCCCTCTGCCGCTTGCTTTGGCGCCCGGGGAGGCCGTGCGTCGGCCCCCCAACCCCCCCTTCCCCCCCCCTCCTTTCTCCTCCTCCTTTTGTTCCCTCTGCTGCAGCTGCCGCTGGGGGTGAGGGTGTGAGAGTGTGGGGAGCCCGGGGAGGGACTGGGGGTGGCGGGTGTGGGGGTGATGGGTGAGTGTGGTCCCCTGGCCCTACGGCTCCATTCTCCTCCGTTTGCCCCCCCCTCTGCTGCTCCTGCAGCAGGGGGAGGGGGAGGGGGAGGATGAGGGGATGTAGGGGGTGACCTACCAGGGACCACCGCCTCCTCTCTCCCTCTCCCTCTCTCCTCCTCCTTGCCTGCCCTCTCCCATTCTGCTATGTACTCTTGGTGTACCCCTTCAGGGGGCGTTGACTGCACATTCTTCCCTACAGGCACTTATGGGGGCGTGTCAGAATAATATATAGTTTTATATATTGTTTTGTAATTGCCTGTAGTGTAGACTAGTGTAGTTATATAATGTTCTGTTTTGGTGGTGCACCTTTCATTTTGCCTATATGTACTGCTCGCTCTATAGTGAAACCTCCTCCTTCTCTTTCAACTTTCTCGACTCTTCTAAACTTACTCGAACTCAACTAGCTATGGCTCCTTAGCCTAGCTCAAGTTTTCACAGCAGGAACTAATCGCTCTCTCTTCAGCTGAAGCGGAATATATCGCCCTCTGCTCAGCCACCAAGGAAGGACTTTACCTTCGCGAACTGCTGGAAGAAGCAAAGTTAGCTGAGTTACCCAGCTTCACCCTGCACTGCGACAACCAATCTGCAATTCGCATCGCCAACAAAAACGGATCGGCGAACAGAACGAAGCATATCGCTCTGCGATACTTCTTCGTGAAAGACGAGATCGAGAAAGGAAGACTCGAGTTATCCTACTGTCCCACGTCCGAGATGGCAGCCGACTATTTGACCAAGAAGCTCGGAAAACAGAAGTTCGAGTACTGCATGCTGCTGACTGGACAAAGCCACGTCACCATCAGCGGCACTCCAGAAGCGAAGGGGAGTGTTGGGAACAATAAGTGTTAAAGCGCCTCTGTCGTGTCGAAGTTCAGGACTCAAAGCGAAGCAGTCCAAATCGAAGCATCGCGAGTCAACCCTCGGAGGTTGAGGTAACCGCCTGGAGGTTACGCGAAAGTCAAAGGTCAGCGATCTTTGACTTGACCAATACAGCGCGACAGCAAGGACACACAACTGACTCGACATTGAGCAGTTGCCCGAGTCGCACTGTATCGAATCGCAACAGCAAGACAGTTATCTTATCTATTCGTATTCCCTGTACTCTTATATAAAGCCTTGTACTTGCTTGTTTTAATTAACTTACTTTGCCCTCACATACTAGCGCAAGGTGGTTCAAGACCCCTTTTTATTCAACGCTTCCGCTATTACAATCCTACCCAGACTTTAACTCTACAAAGATCCTTAGGGCTTTTCAGCCCAACAGTGTAAAGAATTTTTCGGATTCCTTACTGGGTCACACTGTACGCGTACAACCCTGACTTTTCGGAAAACCAGGCTCGGTCCGCTGACCTCGCCTTCCGAACCACTACCGCGTCGCTTTCGGGTTTCCCAACCCCGAACCTACACCCAGCCATCTCGCGACCCCGCAACCTCGGCCCAGCTAGCTTAGCTATATTAGTCCTAGGCCTGTGTTCTCGGTAGTTGTAATCACTTCCGCGATATTGCATTCTGCTCACTCTTCTTTCATACAACTCATAACAGGAACAGTGGTGTACGCGCTGAGCAGGGACACGAAGTTAGGAAAAGGAATTTTCCTTAGAGAGGCCATTAGAATATTTCTGTTACTTGTCCTTCACTGCTTTCTTTGTCATGTCGTGATTCACGTGATGATCTACTTCTCGTTCTAGATATATCCGCATGACCCCAGACGCGTGCCTAAGATTACTCAAGAACCCGATACTCAGCAGATCGCGGTAGATAGCCGCACAGCGCCATGAGCATGCGCCCCGCGCGCTCCGGTGCCCACGTGCCGGCCCTCCTGCGCGCCGTGGGCAGGGCGTGTTGGAACCACTCGCCGCTTCCCGCGTCGGCAGCCGCATCCCAGCGCCTCGTCCCAGACCATTCCGGTTCCGCCCCTCGCCGTCCACCCTCTCACCCGCTCGCCTCTCGCCCGTTTCTGTCCCTTCCTCCGCCCGCCCCTCTACTGCTGCCCGCCTCACTCCGCCAACCCCCTGCCCGCCACCTGTGCACCGAGGGGCCTGCGGTCGGCAAGGCGCGCGAGCAGACAGCGGGGCCAGAAGCACCAGCGGCTGAGGCTGAGGGGGGAATGGCGCAGGGTGCGGGGCAGGAGGCGGAGGGCAGAGTTGGCGGCGAGGGGAGTGCGCAGGAGGAGGAGTGGCGGCGGCAGGCGGAGGAGGCGCGGGAGCGGCTGCTGCGCGCGTACGCGGACATGGAGAACCTGCGCCAGCGCGCCCAGAGAGACGTCGACGCCGCCAGGCTCTTCGCCGTGCAGGTGCCACCCGTGCAGGTGCCACCCGTGCAGTGCTGTGTGCTGGCAGCACAGGCCGTGCAGTCTGCCTCGTGGCCGTCTTGAATGGGTCACTCTCTCTTAGCTACGCCGCCTGCCTTGCTTCGCTCTCATACGGCCTCTGCATCCCCGTGGCCTACTGCTTGTGCCACCCACGCTGCTGCCATGCCATGCGCTGCAGCGCTGTGCTCTCATCCATACACCTCCTAACAATTCCTTGCTTCCTGTCATACCCTCTGGCCTACGGTATGGGCGTGGCATGGCATGGGGATGGGCATGGGCGTGGCATGGCATGGCATGGCATGGCATGGCATGGCATGGCATGGGCATGGGCATGGGGATGGGCTTGGGCGGGGCGTGGCATGGCACGGCATGGCATGGCATGGCATGGCATGGGCATGGGGATGGGCATGGGCGTGGCATGGCATGGCATGGCATGGCATGGCATGGCATGGCATGGCATGGGCATGGGGATGGGCTTGGGCGGGGCGTGGCATGGCACGGCATGGCACGGGCGGCAGGGGTTTGCCAAGGGGCTGGCGGACGTGGCAGACAATCTCTCTCGGGCCGCCGCCTCTGCCTCCCTGCCGCCGCACCCCGCCTCCCCCGACAGTGGGCAGGGCAAGGGCGGGGAGGGTGGGGGTGGGCGCGACCCGGAGGCGCTGCTGAAGTCGCTGTTGGATGGGGTGGAGATGACGGAGAAGCAGCTCATGCAGGTGCCACCCCACGGCCCTGCATGCACGCCACCCCTTGCAGCTTCCTCTGAAGCTGTGTGTTTGCCATGTACCTGTGTTGCTGCGTGCGTCCATGTGTGTGCGCGCACTTGTAATTGTGCGCGCATTCATGTGTGTGAATGTTTGGCTGTGCATGCGTGCATCTGTGCTGGTGCGCGCATGTGTGGTGGTGTGTGGATGTGTGGTGGTGCATGCATGTGTGGTGGTGTGGTGGAGTGAGGGGGAGTGGCACATGGCAGGTGTTTCGGCAGCATGGCATGGAGCGCCACGACCCCATGGGGCAGCGCTTTGACCCCAACCTGCACAACGCCGTGTTTGAACTCGAAGACCCCACCAAGGAGCCAGGCACCATCGCCCACGTGCTCAAGGTACCATCACAGCATCGCCCACGTGCTCAAGGTACCATCACAGCATCGCCCACGTGCTCAAGGTGCCACCTGATTATGCTGCTTACCTGTGTGCCCGTTTGCTGTTCCCCTGTGCCCCTGTGCCCCTGTGCCCCTGTGCCCCTGTGCCCCTGTGCCCCTGTGCCCCTGTGCCCCTGTGCCCCTGTGTGCTGTGTGTCTGTGCCCCTGTGTGCTGTGTGTCTGTGCCCCTGTGTGCTGTGTGTCTGTGCCCCTGTATGCAGGTGGGCTACACTCTTCACGGCCGTGTGGTGCGCCCAGCCGATGTGGGCGTGGTCAAGGGCAGTCACGCATAGTCCTTGCAGGCGTGGCGATGGTCAGTCAAGCGCTGTCAACTCTTGGCCCACTGCCCAGTTCGTCCCTGCATGTGGTCAATCTGCTGAGACTTGTAGGAACCCGAAACCCTGCATGCTGGCAGGCGCCTCAATTCAGCTTAGGAGGGGGTGCAGTGTATTGCAACATCTGCGAATTTAGGTGTCAGCCGTTCACACACATGCAATCACGGAATGCAACCAGGATGCGCATCCATCATCTGCAATCACCGTATCCAATCAAATTCGCAATCACGATATTCTGTCAACGTGTTGAGGTGTATACGATACGCTGTAGGACACCTAACGAATTGTATGCCAATAATAAAGCAGCCTGGACCAAGACCACGACACGAGCAAGCCTCCCCCGTTAGCTTATCACCTTCAATCCAAGCACGTGCGCGACGCTGTTGCGCCCACCACCACTCCACAGTTGCTCCCCCGCGTCCCCCCCCCTCCGGCACACCTTTCTCGCGCTCATCGCCTCGCACTTACCCCGCAGCCCTCACCCACGACGTTCTTCCGCCTGCCTCGCCAGTCGCCTCCCTGCCCCCCGTGGCGCCATGCGACCCCATCTCGTCGCGATCTCGCTCTCTTCCTCGCCCTTCCCGCTCCGCGCGTCTCACGCACTCGCCTCGCGCTCTCTCGCCCCTCCCGCGCCACCCCCGTGCCACTCTCGCTCCTTGCGGTCTTTCGTGCGGCGGCTCGCCGCGTGAGTAGTTGACGGTCGTAGCGCAGGATAGACGACGGTCGTAGCGCAGGATAGACGGTCGTAGCGCAGGATAGACGTCGTAGCGCAGGATAGACGTCGTAGCGCAGGATAGACGGTCGTAGCGCAGGATAGACGTCGTAGCGCAGGATAGACGTCGTAGCGCAGGATAGACGGTCGTAGCGCAGGATAGACGCGCGAACTGCGGATATAAACGCGTCAGTTAGTGTGAAATAGACGCGCGAGGTGCTTCGACGCGCCGCCGCCATGCGGTCGTGCGACGCGCGGTGATTGTCGTTCCCAGTGTGCGACTGCCAGCCTCCTGTGTGCGACAAAATCCAGTGAGCGACAGCCGGCGCGGGGATGGTGGCGAAGAGAACTCGACAGCTGGTTATTGTGAGACGCGCGGCTGCTGCCGCCCCTGTTGCCCCCCTCCACCCGCTCCTGCTCGGACCGCTCTCGCCCGCCTTCATCTGCGCGCGCTGCGTGCCGCTGCCGCCTCGCCCTGCTCGTCCATCCGTCCCCCTCTCTCCTTCTCTCCGTGCCCTCACTCTCTCGTGCAAGGCCGTTGCTCGCCTTTTCGTGCCATGCACCCTCATCACATGCCGTGTTGCCACATGGTGCCACGTGGCAGGGCGTATTGGCGGGCTGCATCATCACCGCTATCCTCTATCTCTTCGCCGTGCTCCAGGTGCGCTCAGGTGCGCCCAGGTGCGCCCAGGTGCGCCCAGGTGCGCCCAGGTGCGCCAGGTGCGCCCAGGTGCGCCCAGGTGCGCCCAGGTGCGCCCAGGTGCGCCCAGGTGCGCCCAGGTGCGCCCAGGTGCGTCGAGGTGAGCCGAGGTGAGCCGAGGCGCTCCCATACGCTCTGCTTGCATGCTCCGCTGCTATGCTCCGTTGCTATGCTCCGTTGCTATGCTCCGTTGCTATGCTCCATTGCTATGCTCCGTTGCTATGCTCCGCTGCTATGCTCCGCTGCTATGCTCCGCTGCTATGCTCCGCTGCTATGCTCCGTTGCTATGCTCCGTTGCTATGCTCCGTTGCTATGCTCCGCTGCTATGCTCCGCTGCTATGCTCCGCTGCTATGCTCCGCTGCTATGTCCCGCTGCTATGCTCTGCTGCCCATCAGGGAAGTCATCCCGCTCTTTCAACCCCACACCCTTGACTTGCGTGTGCCATGGTGTGGCATGGCATGGCGTGGCATGGCATGGCATGGCATGACATGGCATGGCATGGCATGGCATGGCGTGGCATGGCATGGCATGGCATGGCAGCAACATGTGGGGCAGGAGCGCAGGAGGCCATCAGTGGATGTGGACGCGCGCCTCCGCGCCATTGAAGGTCGCCCACCCATCGCCTTCCACCCATCCCCTTCCACCCATCGCCTTCCACCCATCCCCTTCCACCCATCCCCTTCCACCCATCGCCTTCCACCCATCGCCTTCCACCCATCCCCTTCCACCCATCCCCTTCCACCCATCCCCTTCCACCCATCCCCTTCCACCCATCCCCTTCCACCCATCCCCTTCCACCCATCGCCTTCCACCCATCGCCTTCCACCCATCCCCTTCCACCCATCCCCTTCCACCCATCCCCTTCCACCCATCCCCTTCCACCCATCCCCTTCCACCCATCCCCTTCCACCCATCCCCTTCCACCCATCCCCTTCCACCCATGCCACTCACTCCCATGCCGCTCACTCCCATGCCGCTCACTCCCATGCCGCTCACTCCCATGCCGCTCACTCCCATGCCGCTCACTCCCATGCCGCTCACTCCCATGCCGCTCACTCCCATGCTGCTCACTCCCATGTCGCTCACTCCCATGTCGCTCACTCATGTCGCTCGCTCCGATATGCCTCCATCCGCATTGCTGCCACCGCTTGCATCCGTCATCTTCACCCTCCCTCCCACTCTCCCCATCGCTCTCTCCATCATCTCGCTCTCCGCCCATCCCTTAACCCCTTGCCTGCGCCCCCCTGCCTGCCACCCTGCCTGTGCCCGCCTGCCTGCGCCCCTGGGTGGGAGAGCAGAGCAAGTGGCGCGGATGGCAGCGGCGGACGTGGTGGGGGTGGTGAGGGAGGAGGTGGGGCGCGTGGGCGGGCAGGTGGAGGCGGTGCAGGCGCTGCAGCGAGCCAGCGCGCAGGCTGGGGGGGACAGGGGGGCGGCGCTGGAGGCGCGTGCGAGGGAGGCGGAGGAGAGGGCGGCGCAGCTGAACGACACGGTGGGGCGCCTGCAGGCTGCTCTCAGGCAGCACAGCGCCACCATCGCTGCTCTGCAGGTGGGCAGCACAGCGCCACCATCGCTGCCCTGCAGGTGGGCAGCACAGCGCCACCATCGCTGCCCTGCAGGTGGGCAGCACAGCGCCACCACACTGGTTGCCCACGGGCGGATTCGTTCAACACACCCCTCCCTCCACCCTCACTACCATACCATGCAATTCATTTCATGCCGTGCCGTGCCATGCATGCCGTTACATGCCATGCATGCCGTTACATGCCATGCATGCTGTTACATGCCATGCATGCCGTTACATGCCATGCATGCCGTTACATGCCATGCATGCCGTTACATGCCATGCATGCCGTTACATGCCATGCCATATCATGCCGGGGCACCATATCATGCCGGGGCACCATATCATGCACCGCTATGCATGTGCGCAGGCAGCGGAGCAGGCAGCAGGGGCGGCAGGGAAGGAAGGGGGGAGGCCACTGGGAAGGACGGTGGTGGAGGAGGACCACCCGGGGCGATGGAGGCAGCACACCTTCCACCGCACCGGCGCCTATGGCTTCATCCAGTACAGGTGCTCCCTGCCCTGCCCCACCGCGCACGTCGCTTTCACTGCTTGCCACCAACCATCTAAGCATCCCTTGCTTCCCAATCCCCCAATACCGCACTCTTCTTCTCCCCCACTCCCCTCACCTTTTCTTTGCGCCCGCCCTTCACGCCTCACCTCTCTCTCTCCTTGCCCCTCGCCCCTGCCGCGGGCCTCTGGCATGCATGCAGTGCGTACCGTATGTCAGCGGCGCGCATAGCGGTGGTGGGGATGGGCGTGCTGGGGCTGCGCAGCAAGCGGCGCGTGGAGGGGTGCTGGTGGCACCGCCTGGACGGGCACACGGTGATCGCGGGCAAGCTCACACAGATGGTCATGGAGGAGCACCACAACTACCTCGTGCGTGGGGGGGGGGGGGGGGGGGGGGGGGGGGGGGGGGGGGGGGGGGGGGGGTTGGATGCACGGGTGCAGAGAGGAGATAAATTGTTCTCGCATCGCGCTTTTTGTGATTTTGTTTGCTCATTTGCCCCTGTGCTGCCCCTGTTCTGCACATTTGCTGCCCCGTGGTGTCCCCATGCGTGGCGGCAGTACGAGCTGGTGGTGCTGCAGTGCGCGCTGGAGGAGGAGGTGGCGGAGACGGGCGGGCATCTGCGCATCTTCCTCGACCGCCAAGTGCTCTTCCCCTTCCGTGAAGACACCAAGGAGGTGCGCCAGGAGGGGTGGAAGGGGGGGGAGTGATGGGCAAGCATGTGAGGCACGTGGGAGGGGAGGGTTGCGATTGTGGCCTTGCAGCATGGTTGCAGCCGCACAGGGTCGTCACCATCTTCACCTCCCTCCCTCTCTCCCTTCCTCTTCCCCTCCCCCCAAGGCAGAAGATAGACAACGGCACGGGCCCCATGCCGTACCACTTTGCGTACTGCGGCCCCCCCATGCACGCGGAGATGGAGCAGCGCAGCGTGCAGCAGTTCATCGCCTACCACCGCTACGCTGCCGGCTACGACCACTTGCAGCTGTACGACGCCACCGCCGTCACGCCCGCCCTCACAGCAGCGCTGCAACCGCTCATGGACGACGGGCTGCTGACCATCGCTGACTTCCGCCAGGCGTACCAGTTTGACTCGTGGTACTTCTCCCAGGTGACCTCACTCGCACCCACTTGCTCCTGCTGCTCCCATCCCTCCTGCCTGCTCGTCTGCCTGCTTTCCCGCCGCTATGCGCCGCCATCGTCCTGCCCCCTCCTGCTCCCATACCTCGCATTCGCGGTCGCCAGCGCTCAACCACTGCCATGTGATCCTCTCCATCGCCCCCCCGCCCCCCCAGGCGGTGGCGATGCACGACTGCATGTACGGCATGCGGCAGAGGGCGGACTGGATAGCCTTCCACGACCTCGACGAGTACCTCGCGCTGCCCCCCCCCGCCTCCGTGCCCGCGCTGCTGCAGCGCTACGCCGCACTGCCGTACATGACACTGGGCATGTACGTGTTCAGCGCGCACCTGTGTGAGGAGGGCCCCGCGGACGTGTGGAGCGACGAGGAGAAGCGCTTTGCGGTGGAGCGCATGGTGCAGCGGCGGTCGGTGCCGTACTGCCTGCGTGCCGAGGACGACCCCAAGCTCTGTATCGACTACTACGGCCATCGCAAGATGTTCCTCAACCCCCGCAAGGTCAGCTGCTGCTGCTGCTGCTTCGCCATTGCTGCATTCTTCATGCTTTGCTGCATTCTTCATGCTTTGCTGCATTCTTCATGCTTTGCTGCATTCTTCATGCTTTGCTGCATTCTTCATGCTTTGCTGCATTCTTCATGCTTTGCTGCATTCTTCATGCTTTGCTGCATTCTTCATGCTTTGCTGCATTCTTCATGCTTTGCTGCATTCTTCATGCTTTGCTGCATTCTTCATGCTTTGCTGCATTCTTCATGCTTTGCTGCATTCTTCATGCTTTGCTGCATTCTTCATGCTTTGCTGCATTCTTCATGCTGAGAGTGAGCTCCGTATGAGTGAGCGTGCTGAGATCGTCACTGTTTCATGCTGATTGGTGGTGGCCATGGGGCGGTGGGGCATGGGAGGGCGGTGGTGGGCAGGTGGAGGCGGTGTACGTGCATCTGGTGGACAAGCCGGCCACGGGCGGGGTGGACCTGAGTGTGGACGACATGTACTTCGCCCACCTGCGCTCGCTCAACGGCAAGGGACTGGCGTGCCGCCCGCCCACAGACAAGGAGAACGACCTGCCGCCCGCAGAGCTGGAGAAGTGCACCACTGTGGCTGACACCGCTGCCCGCGCCCGGGAGTGCGCCCAGGAGGGCTTCTCCAACCAGGTGGGCCGGTGGGCAGGGCCGAGGGGTCGTCGGGTGCACTCCATGATGGGTCTCCGTGCCTCCCCTGCCAGTGCTGCTGCTGCCTGCCCTGTGTGTGGCTGGTGCGTGTGCTGTGCCACTCACGCCCCCCACTCCCCTGTGTGCGCTCCCCTGCAGTTCCTGTGCAAGCCCAGAGCCACGCGCTAGCTGCCTATCCACGCGCCCGCCACTTGTCCGTGTGCGGCCTCCAAGGGGGATGCTTCGGACAAGGCGCTCAAAGTGCCGTGAACAGGAGAACCTGGTGCCATGCTCATTACGCTCCTCTGCACTGCTCGTTGCTGCTGCTTGTGGTGCTTCCTACTATATTCCAGCAGCATTTGCTTGCAGCAGGTCAGGCGAAGTGCAGAGGCCACGGCAGGCAGGAGGCTGCAGCCCCACGGCCGTGCACTCACATGCCCCATGCCCGCTGCTGCCTGCGCTGCCCCTCACTGTGCCTACCTGCTTGCTAACCCATGCAGTGTGCCTCATGATATGGCCCTGCCTGCACCCCATGTGCCCACCCTGCTCCTAACTGCTATTCGTCAGAACACTACCGGTGTGCCTTAGCCCACCTGTCATATGATACCTTCGTCCATGACCTGCAGTGTATTCCAGTGATGCTTTTAAAGAACCCAGGGCATACATGAGAATGATCACGAGACAACACTTTAGTCTTCGTGCCACACTCTACAGGTCTCTACCACACTCAATGATTCACACCACAGCCATCTGCCACACGTCTGGTCAGAACATTCTGTGGCTGCACTGCGCTACAGGCATGAAGGTTGAGTAAGAATGAAGGTTCTAGTACTGAGTGGGATCACCACCCAACGTTCCTCCTTGATTGGAGTGCAATACTACTCTGCGTGAGTGGGACCATTGCTTGCCTCTTTTATCACGACAAGGTACCAGTCGCATTCTTGGCATTTCAACCCGTGAACCTCTGCCTGCAGTGAACCTCAACTAGCTGTAGTATTGTCTTTGACAATCACCTAAAAGGGCATTCATTCACGAGTGGTTGACAATCGTCCGAAGAAAAAAATTAGAGGAAGCATGCTTGCGTGCAATGCCGGTGAGAAGGCTATGATGGTGCACAGGCAAGCTCTACAGCTTCTCCTGCACTTCTCCGGGCAGCGGGCTGGGTCAACATCTTCGTTCGGCGTAGATCGCACGAGGGAGGAGTGCACGTAGCAGGGCACAAGCCTCTTTCCTGCGTGTGGCAGATACGACTCCAACCGTTCTGTTCCTTATGGATTCTTTGTTCATTTTTTTGTTCTGGGTGTGGAAGGGAAACTGAGAGCGGTAGTATAATTGCATTAAGCTAAATCGAAACATGCCAAAAAGGTAAAAACATGGCACTTATCTATGGGGGTATGGCCCCGGTTACCTAGTACACGTAGCCCTTCACGTGAAGGCTCTCGGTGGCGGCAGCGGAGGCGGCGCCGCCGGCGTACTTGCCGAGGGTGGCTTCGGAGTTGCTGCGCGCGCGCGTGGTGAAGACCTCTTGCGCCGCCTTGAGGTTCTCCTCCTTGCCCTGCCACGCGGCCAGCGTGCTCTTCTGCAGCGCGCGCCCGTACGAGAAGGACAGCGTCCACGGCTTCTTCGTGTCCAGCTGGTTCATCGCGTTCAGGTTCACCGTCGCCTGCTCCTCGCTCTGCCCGCCCGACAGGAACATGATGCCGGGCACGGCGGCGGGCACGGTGCGCTGCAGCGCGCGCACGGTGAGCGCGGCGATGGTCTTCTCGTCCACCTTGGGCCCGTCGGAGCCGGGCGACACCATGTTGGGCTTCAGCAGCGACCCCTCCAGCAGCACCTTCTGCTCGCTCAGCGCCTTGTACGTCGCGGCCAACACGCGCTCCGTGACCTCGGCGCACTTCTCGATGGTGTGCGAGCCGTCGGTGAGGATCTCGGGCTCCACGATGGGCACCAGCCCGTTCTCCTGGCAGATGATGGCGTACCGCGCCAGGCCCTGCGCGTTCAGCTGGATCGCCAGCTCCGACGGCTCGTTCGCGCCGATCTTCAGCACTGCTCGCCACTTGGCGAACCGCGCGCCCGCCTTGTAGTACTCGGCACAGCGCGCGCCGAGGCCATCGTGGCCCTGCGTGGTGGTCTCGCCGTTGGTGCCGGCGATGTCGACGGTGCCCTTGTCGACCTTGATGCCCGGCAGCACGTCGTTCTCGTTCATCAGGTCCACGAACGGCTTGCCGTCCGCCGTCTTCTGGTACAGCGTCTCCTCGAACAGGATCACGCCGCTCAGGTACTGCATCGCGCCGGGTGCAGTGAACAGCAGCTCACGCAGCGCGCGGCGGTTTGACTCAACATTCTCGACATTGATGGCGCTCAGGCGCTTGCCGATGGTTCCAGTGCTCTCATCAGCCGCCAAGATACCCTTTCCTGGGGTCGCGATCTTCTTGGCGTTGGCAACAAGCTCCTCTGCAGTCGGCAAGGTAGGAAAATTGGTAAGTCAACAAGGAGCTGAAGTCATTCTTCTCTTATGTAAATTCAGTCAAGCTGAATGTTTGTGCAACATACGACGAGCACGCAATAATCAATGGCAGAAAAGCTCTGACCATGTGGATAGCAGAACTGGCCAACACCTAAAGAGCTCGAGATATCGTACCTGCGTACTTGCCATTGTAGGCAGCCATGGCTCTACAAATCTGAGAGAGAAGCCGAGATGAGTGCTGAGGAACAATTACAGATAGAGAACGCCTTGTGAAGAAATCTGGAAGCAGCAAGCTGAATTGAGGATAATGGGAGTCGGACAAGCATTTGAAGCACAAGAATCAGCCTTCGCAGGCGGGAGTTTGGGGGAGCACGACAGCGCGGCATGCCACGTGCAGAAAGGCATGCGATGATGTGGACGAACCACAAGGCTTATTTCCCCTCGGCTTCCGCGCCAGCTCAGACCAACCCCAGATCCGAGCACTTCGGAATGGAATCCTGCCAAACGCCAATTGCGCAGGGTCGTGCTGGCACTAAAAATATCGCCGCGCGGCGCCCAACCATTCGGCCTCCCCTGTGTCTGGATGACCCACGGTGTACTTGGAGGAATGCGGCCCGGTGCTGGCATCCACCTTTGCACAGTGACTCCGAATTGTCCCCTGATGTGACTTCTTTAGGAAAAATACACCGTATCCGTTGTTTTGAACATTTGTATATACCTCATTAGCGAGGCAACTATTGGCGCGTTCAAACTGAACCTCCGTCACCCGACTTTCTCTCACATTCCGTGCCTGTCCACCACAGAACGCACACGTTGAACTTGTTGGTACCTAGAGCTTTATTGAGTCATCAACGATACTATCTTCCTGTTCTGTTCACCAAAGGGGCTAGGCGGTGCTCGGTGCACCATGCGTATTTGATTCCGGTTCTCCGTTCGTTTCGTTCTACTCTGCGTTTCGTGTTTTTTTCCCTATCGTTTGTGGAGTCTCAACGACCGCTAATTATCCATCCAACCGCCTTCCCTCACTCTAGTTCCCGACGGCGCGGCAATGAGGGGGACCTCGGGGGTGAAGCGGGTGGGCAAGTACGAGCTGGGGCGGACCCTAGGCGAGGGAAACTTCGCCAAGGTGAAGTTGGGGCAGGACGTGGAGAGCGGGCGGCGCGTGGCGATTAAGGTCATGGACAAGGACAGGATTCTGCAGCACAGGATGGCGGACCAGGTGACGCCGCCACTCCCGCTCCGCTCTCCTCGCCACGCCGTTTGATGCCTTCCTTACTGCGCTCCGCGTCGCTGGCATTTGAACGCGACGCCGCGTTCGTGACGGCGTTCGCGCAAAGCCGTTGTCGCGCCTCGCCACGCGTCACTCACAACCGGCTCTCCTCCGTTTCCGTGTGATGCTCAGATAAAGCGCGAGGTCTCGATAATGAAGATGGTTCGCCACCCCAACATCGTCCAGCTTATCGAGGTACTCTCAAACACGTTTATCCTAGCCCTAGCCCTTTATCCTATAACTACCGAGCTGTAGCGGTTCCTAGGGTCGAAAGGCGGCACGTCACCCAACCGTCAACCGTGCCCCGTGTCCCTCCGTGCCGTCCCATGCATGTGGGCCGGCAGGTGCTGGCGTCGCGCAACAAGATCTTCATGGTGCTCGAGTTCGCGGCGGGCGGCGAGCTCTTCGACCGCATCGTCAGTGCGCGCGCCCTCCCCCTCCCCCTCCCGCTCTCGCTGCCGCCACTCTCGCCCGCATCGGCTCACTCCTCGCCCGCACCCGCGCACCATTGCCCCTCGCCCGTGCTGTCAGTCTCTGTCATCCGCTGTGTCGCGCAGTCGCCGTCGTCGTTACTCGCCGCCGCGCCTTCCGGCTTAACTCCCCTGGTGTGCGCGCGCAGGTGTACCGCGGGCGGTTGGCGGAGATCGAGGCGCGGCGGTACTTCCAGCAGCTGGTGGACGCCGTCGACTGCTGCCACGCCAAGGGCGTCTGCCACCGCGACCTTAAAGTAACAATCTATTTTACTACTTCCTTTTTCGTTATGCGGTTTCTGCTTTGCCAGTTCCGCCATTCGCTGCACATTCTTACCTCGCATTCGCCTGCTCCCTCTCATCTCATCCCGCCCTGTGCATGCTGTGACGTGGCATCAGCCGGAGAACCTGCTGGTGGACGAGCGCGGCAATCTCAAGGTGTCGGACTTTGGGCTGAGCGCCCTGCCGCAGCAGCAACACCGCGACGGGCTGCTGCACACCACCTGCGGCACGCCCAACTACGTCGCCCCTGAGGTGCGTGCCTCCCCTCCCCTCCCCTCCCCTCCCCCCTCTGCTCGTCTGCGCCCAACCACGTCGCCCCCAAGGTTCACCCCTCTGCCTCACTGCTTGCCCTCTCCCCAACCCCCCCCCCCCTCATGTGTCCCGGCTGCTCCCCTGCATGCTACTCGCGTGGTGCCTGCTCCCACCGCACCCAGCCCAGCCCACACCCACCACACCCCCCCCCCCCCCCCTTCACTCGTCCCCAGCCTTCTTACATTCCGCCATGTGCGCCCCTGCGCGCCCCTGCGCGCCTCTCTGCACCCCTCTGCGCCCCTGCGCGCCCCTACCCCCTCCAGGTGCTGCACAACAAGGGGTACGACGGGCGCAAGGCGGACGTGTGGTCGTGCGGCGTCATCCTGTTCGTGCTGCTGGCAGGCTACGTGCCCTTCGATGAACCCGACCTCGTGCTGCTCTATGACAAGGTGTGCTGCTCTATGACAAGGTGTGCTGCTCTATGACAAGGTGTGCTGCTCTATGACAAGGTGTGCTGCTCTATGACAAGGTGTGCTGCTCTATGACAAGGTGTGCTGCTCTATGACAAGGTGTGCTGCTCTATGACAAGGTGTGCTGCTCTATGACAAGGTGTGCTGCTCTATGACAAGGTGTGCTGCTCTATGACAAGGTGTGCTGCTCTATGACAAGGTGTGCTGCTCTATGACAAGGTGTGCTGCTCTATGACAAGGTGTGCTGCTCTATGACAAGGTGTGCTGCTCTATGACAAGGTAAGGCGTGCCGCCATGCTTCCAGCCTCTGCTCTCACGCCTGCTGCACGCCTGTTGCTCATGCATGCCCTCACACGCCTGTTGCTCATGCATGCCCTCACACGCCTGTTGCTCATGCATGCCCTCACACGCCTGCTGCTCATGCATGCCCTCACACGCCTGTTGCTCATGCATGCCCTCACACGCCTGTTGCTCATGCATGCCCTCACACGCCTGTTGCTCATGCATGCCCTCACACGCCTGTTGCTCATGCATGCCCTCACACGCCTGTTGCTCATGCATGCCCTCACACGCCTGTTGCTCATGCATGCCCTCACACGCCTGTTGCTCATGCATGCCCTCACACGCCTGTTGCTCATGCATGCCCTCACACGCCTGTTGCTCATGCATGCCCTCACACGCCTGTTGCTCATGCATGCCCTCACACGCCTGTTGCTCATGCATGCCCTCACACGCCTGTTGCTCATGCATGCCCTCACACGCCTGTTGCTCATGCATGCCCTCACACGCCTGTTGCTCATGCATGCCCTCACACGCCTGTTGCTCATGCATGCCCTCACACGCCTGTTGCTCATGCATGCCCTCACACGCCTGTTGCTCATGCATGCCCTCACACGCCTGTTGCTCATGCATGCCCTCACACGCCTGTTGCTCATGCATGCCCTCACACGCCTGTTGCTCATGCATGCCCTCACACGCGCTGCACGCTGCCATGGGATGGGACTCCGCTCCCCTCCTGCATGTGCAACTGTCTTGCCTGATTCAACGACGCTCTTCCCTCCCCCTTTGCCTCCCTCCGCTCCCTCTCTCCACCTTCAGATATCCCGGGCGCATTTCAAGTTCCCTGAGTGGTTCTCCCCCGGGGTGAAGCGCCTCATCACGCGCATCCTCAACCCCGACCCCGCCACCGTATGCCGCCCTCCCTCCTTGACCCCGCCACCGTATGCCGCCCTCCCTCCTTGACCCCGCCACCGTATGCCGCCCTCCCTCCTTGACCCCGCCACCGTATGCCGCCCTCCCTCCTTGACCCCGCCACAGTATGCCGCCCTCCCTCCTTGACCTCGCCACCGTATGCCGCCCTCCCTCCTTGACCCCGCCACCGTATGCCGCCCTCCCTCCTTGACCCCGCCACAGTATGCCGCCCTCCCTCCTTGACCCCGCCACCGTATGCCGCCCTCCCTCCTTGACCCCGCCACCGTATGCCGCCCTCCCTCCTTGACCCCGCCACCGTATGCCGCCCTCCCTCCTTGACCCCGCCACCGTATGCCGCCCTCCCTCCTTGACCCCGCCACCGTATGCCGCCCTCCCTCCTTGACCCCGCCACCGTATGCCGCCCTCCCTCCTTGACCCCGCCACAGTATGCCGCCCTCCCTCCTTGACCCCGCCACCGTATGCCGCCCTCCCTCCTTGACCCCGCCACCGTATGCCGCCCTCCCTCCTTGACCCCGCCACAGTATGCCGCCCTCCCTCCTTGACCCCGCCACCGTATGCCGCCCTCCCTCCTTGACCCCGCCACCGTATGCCACCCTCCTTCCTTGACCCCGCCACTGTATGCCGCCTACCTTCCTGCACTCCCGCTCCTCATCTTCCTGCGTCTCCCACTGTGCCCTCGCCCCAGACCCCATCCGTGCGTGCTCCCTGCATGCCATGTACCATCTCACCGCCACTCCTTTTCCTCCGCGCGCCCTCATGCTCCCACCAACCCTTCTTCGTCCGCTCTCTTTCCCATTCTCCTCTGCCTACCCCCCCCCACCTTTCTCAACCGTTTCCTCTTTCCCGCCCCCCTCTCGCGGCCGCCGTGGCGCGGTGGTGTGGCAGCGGCCGGGGCTGGCGGCGATACGGCGGGATGAGTGGTTTCAGCGCGACTACCACCGGGCCTACCCGCTGCCCGACGACACTGAGGGGCAGGGGGGCACTGAGGACGTGCTGCTTCATGCCCGGGTGAGAGGAGAGGGGGGGGGAAGAGGGGGGTAAGGGGGGGGAGTGGCAGGGGGAGAGGGGGGCGAGGGAAGGGACGGGATGGAGAGGGGCAGAGGGAGGGCGGCATGGTGGTGGTGGATGCGCTGATAGGATGCTGCGCTCTGTGCTGCGCCATGCCCTCGCCCTGCCCTCGCCCTGCCCTGCCCCCATTCCTCTTGCTTACTCCTCAAGCCTCCGTCCATTCCCATTCCTGCCCGTGTCTCGCTGCTCTCCCGTGTGCTTGTGTGCTCCCCATCCCCCCCACCAGCTGCACCCGGTGGCGGAGCTGTCTGTGCGGGTGCCGCACTCGCCCTCCCTGCAGGCGTCGCTGCCCGTCTCCCTCAGCCCGCGCACCACTGCAGCAGCCGCACCTCCGGCAGCAGCAGCGCTGGGTGGTCGTGAGGCACAGGCAGGGGTGGCGGAGGAGGGGCGGGCAGGGGGTGCAGGAGAGGGGGGGGCGGGAGCGGGGGCAGGAGAGGAGGGACCGGAGTGGGTGAACGCGTTTGACCTCATAGCGCGGGCACACGCGCTGGACTTGGGGGCGCTCTTCCACCGCCGCGCCCACCCCGTGCTGCGCCACACGCGCTTCGCCTCGCGCCTGCCGCCCGCCCTCATCCGCTCGCGCCTCCTCGCCCTCGCCCCCGCCCTGCACGCCCACGCGCACGCCAACCTCTTCAAGGTGCCGCGCAGGGCAGGGGGCGAGGGATGTAGGGCACGGGGGAGGAGGGGGGATAGAGAACGCTTTTGAGTCGACTCAAAAGGCACGGGGGAGGAGGGGTGTAGGGCACGGGGGAGGAGGGGGGATAGAGAACCTGGTGGGAGTGAGGCTGTGTGGCGAGAGGTGGACTATGCGAGAGATGAATGCTGTGCCCTGCCTTGCCATGTGCCCCACATCTCCTGCACTCACCCCTTGTGCCCGCCCTCTAATGTGTGACCCCTGCCGCCTCATGTGGCGATGCTGCTGCTGTGGGCGGCACATGGCAGATTCGATTGGAGCGACCAGCAACAGCGCAAGGCGGCCATCTCACCGTGGTCATTCAGGTACCGTGCTCATGCCCATGCACTCCCTCGGGCTCCCATGCTCGCATCCGTGCTGCATGTGTGTGTCCCTTGCTGCGTGTACGCATGCAACCCCCTTGCATGCAACCCCCTTGCATGCAACCCCCTTGCATGCAACCCCCGGGATTTAACTCCCTGGATCGTGAAAGCATGGGAAAACCGTTTTTCCCGCCATGTGTTGCTGTCCCATCTGCGCCACTTTCAAAATGACCCTATGGCTTGTCTGTCGTTGCGGTGGGGTGGGGTGCGGTGCAGATATTTGAGATGACGCCGGGGGTGTTCATGGTGGAAGCACGCAAGGCTGCCGGCGACACCCTCGAGTATCACAAGGTCAGCCCAGCAGCCTACTCTCCCTTCTTCCCCGCCCCCCTTATTCCCTGCCCTCGAGTACCACAAGGTCACCCCACCCGCCTTACACCTCCTCGCCCCTCCTCGCCCCTCCTGGCCCCTCCTCGCCCCTCCTGGCCCCTCCTCGCCCCTCCTGGCCCCTCCTCGCCCCTCCTCGCCCCTCCTGGCCCCTCCTAAGTAGGCTACTGCTGCCGCCTTGCACCCCTCTCCTCTCGATGAAGCTGACTTGGTAGCTTGAGCGTGTGCAGCAAGCAATGCAGGGGGTAGGCACAGTGCAGTATGGATGCCTGCTGGCATGTGGTGCATGCCCGCCCACCACTGCACGCCACTCACCGTGCCTTCTGCCTTTTCACCAGTGGGGTCTGCCGCAGCATGAGAGTGTGAGAGCACAAGCAGGCAGCCGATGAGTATACTGAAAGCGTGCTTCTGTGCTCTGTGTGTGGGTGGGTGGGTGGGTGGTACGTGTGTGGGTGGGTGGGTGAGTGTGTGGGTGGGTGGGTGAGTGTGTGGGTGTGTGTGAATGCCATATGTGCGGCCTGTGCCTGTGACACACCACTGTGCAGTTCTATCGCAGTCTGGTTGCACGGGCCAAGGACCTGGTGTGGCACCCAGACGCCGCTGCCGCCCTGCCAGCATCACCAGAGGCGCCACTCGCAGTGCCGCCACCACTGGTATCCGACAGTCCTGCAGCAATCACGGTAGCAGCAACAGCAACAGCAGAAACAGCAACAGAAACAGCAGCAACAGCAACAGCAGCAGCAACAGCAACAGCAGCAACAGCAACAGCAACAGCAGCAACAGCAGCAGGAGGGGCAGCAACAGCGCTAACAGCAACAGCAGCAGCAACAGCAACAGCAGAAACAGCAGCAGGAGGGGCAGCAACAGCGCTAACAGCAACAGCAGCAGCAACAGCAACAGCAGCAACAGCAACAGCAACAGCAGCAACAGCAACAGCAACAGCAACAGCAGCAACAGCAACAGCAACAGCAGCAACAGCAACAGCAGCAGCAACAGCAACAGCAGCAACAGCAACAGCAACAGCAACAGCAGCAACAGCAACAGCAACAGCAGCAACAGCAACAGCAGCAGGTAATAGTGACGTGAATGAAGGGACAGTAAAGAGCAGTGGGAAGGTAGAGGAGCCACAAGGGCGCATGGAGGAGAAGCACAGAGGCTCACCCACCACCATGCATTCTACAGGATGTGTGGTGCCAACAACAAACAGCAGGCGTGGATTCTCAGGCTGACCAACATATTATGCGATTTATGTTGTTGCAGTTTGTGTGTATTATAGCGTTACTCTGTGCATATCATTTTGCAATGGTTGTCAGATCCCATTCCACATTCCTAAATCACTTCAGTTCAGATGTTTGCATAGGTGAGATGTTGAGATGTGAATGAACATACTTAACTCTGTATGCTGAAAGAACTCCATGCTGGTTGTACTCAGTTTCATCCGCCTGTACAGGTTTGCATTTCTGGTCCCTGAATGCATACATCCTCCTACGTGATAATTTTGAGAGAGGTTGACTTTTTTTATGTACAGTACGTCCTACTGTCTACGCAAGTGTAGTGTAGTGTACTCACTGTTGTGGCTCGCGACAGGGTGTGACCCACGTGAAGCCGTTGTTGATTGTTTCCAGAAGCGACCTTCAGCGGTTGCCACGCAGGCACCTCACACCTGACTCGGTCATCCTGGCTTCCCATTTTTTTTCCAAAATTTACCGAGTGTAGTGAATGAGTCTTGTTAATCCGAAACTCGGGGTCCCTCCCTTCATTTTCGAATTTCATGATTAGTCCCTACTAACAGTTTGCTAAGCTTAAGAGTTCTTACGAAAGGCTGTCCTGATAAAAAGTTCCGTACTTTCGAGGTCAATTGGCGCATTAACTCGTTGCAATCTTCCAGAAGGCATCTGAAAATCCAGCTGTGAGTACTGGTATAAACGACAGATGCCAGTCTGTCTGGTCGGCTAGCTCAATTATGAGAGTTCACTTCGCGTTTTTTGCTCAGTCTTGGAGATTTAGGTACGTCCAAATCCCAGACGACCGAAACCTGGGTGCCCAGCATGGCAATGGTGACTCGGGTCTTGCCCAGGGCTGGCTAGGCTTTGACCAAACCTGATCTGAGATGTTTGGCCAATAGGATCTGCTAGGGTGGCCAGCCCTAACCTCAACTGGCGGTACCCGTCACCGAGCCATCCCAGCAAGCACGTGACACGCTCAGACCCGAATCGCATGCCGCGTGATGTGGATCATAAAATGTGCAACTGATCCCTCTGGCCCTCGCATGCTTCCGTGCGGCTTGTCCTCTCGACACCAGAAGACCAGACACGTTAGGAACCACCAGCTTTTTGGATCAATCATCGCCAGCTCCGTCGTATGTCTAGATTCTAGAGAGCGATTATGCCTGCTGCTACTTCAAGTCCATTTTTCCTGCATCCCAACGTTACACACTGGCTTTTCAACTTCCAGGCTCCTTACGTATATAGTTTTACTACCAGAGCCGAACTTGCTAAGTACTTTTTCGACTCAGATACGCAGCTAACGCATTGCTTTTCCGGTTTGAGCTAGCAATCTATCACTTCGACGAATTGAAAGAGCGGCCAGCCATGATCATGTGCCCTCGGAGCTCGTCCTTCGACGGGGCCGTCTCAGTCTCTTACCGCCCATCCGTCCCGCACCCACCTATTTCGCCGTCCGGAGTCGAGTCGCCGTCGCGGCTAGGCCAGAGCCGTTTGGACGACGTGGGGATGCGCTCGCTGGAGAGCAAGCTTGAGCTGCTCCACGCGCAGCGAGAGCTGAGCGCCCTTCGCTGCCAGACGTTCATCGACCAGATCGAATCCGCCTTCCAATCCCAACCTCCCACTCAAGCCGACCGACTCGCACGCCGCCCTCCCTCCGTGCGGGCGCGTCGCGCGTCGCTCGATCTGTCGAGGGCGGAGAGCGCGCAGTTGGCGCAGGAGCTGCGGTTCTACGATGAGCCGGCGAGGTTCGCCCGCTCGCACTCCCACAGCGCCAGTGCCAGTCCAGCCGCCGCAGTGCCGCGTCCGCGATTCCCGCGCTCCAAGTCGCATCGCGGGCCCAGCCGAGGCTCCTCCCCCAGCCCGGCCGCTTTTGTCCGCCGCCACTCCAGCCCTGGCGTCGCCCGCCACTCCCCCAGTTTGTCGTTCTCATCAGCTGGGACGGACGGGCCGGAAGGCCTGAGCTGTAGTTTGGGGGTCCGCGCGAGCAACGCAGGTGCGCGCGAGTCTTTCATGGTGTCGCGACCAAGTCTCAAGGACCGCCTGCCGTATTCGAGACACGGCGACGACGTGCGGGAGGCGGAGATGATGGCGCAAGAGGCGACTCGATGAGAGTCACGACTGCGACTGCCGCGTGACAGCATGCGCGGACAGGCCCGCGGACAGTGCGTGACGCTCCAGCTGCACCCAATACGAGTTCACCTGGAGCTGCGCGCAGGGTCGGGGCGTCGTGTACCTGCGCGTTGGAGTTGGACATCGAAGCTACGGAAGCCGCGGTGCAGCACCTCGCTGGCGCCACCGTGCTGGTGGCGGGACGGAAAGAGAGCATCCGCGCCCACAACCTGGGCCAAACCGCGCAGCACTTATCCCAGAAATAAGTCTGCAAGGGGTTTGGGGAGGAATGCGGGGGCTTTTGAACCGTCAACTGCTCCGCTTCCGGAGGCTTTGCCCATTCCACGGCCGGAGGAGTGGTCGCCTCCATCATTCCCCTACCCACCGGAGTCGCAGCCTCAGACTCACTGCGGCGCGTCTGTGTGAAGGACGAGAAAGGCAATGCATACTCAGCAGCTCGTGTGAGGCGATGGAAGCCACGAGAATGGCATAAGCATTTGACAGACACGATCGTGAAGCACCATAGCCGGATCAGCACGCTCACTGATCTGCTTGTCATACGGAATTTCTCCTTTGTAGCATCAGTTCTTGCAACATATTTGCAGCAATAGCGTGGTTGACATGAGCAAATGGGACAGCGGCTTAGAAGGTATACTTAGAAGATATTATAAATTCCAATAATACATTTTTCTGCAATAACGGCACTTTGCGGGAAGTAGTGCCGCAACAAAATCTTGAGCCGGAGCTTGGCCCAGAAGATTCAATCCAAAATGAGGCGAGAACAGATAGCCAGGCGGCATGGCATGGCAAAATGACGACGCTGACTTGGCATGCTTGCTGTCTTCCATGTTCCTTCACAACCGCATTAGGCGCACAAGAGCGCGCAAGCGGGTAAAACCAATCCCTCGAAAGGGCAAAACCGAGGCCAAGGCTGGTCCGGTGCACGACGGTGCAGCGGAGAGCTGGGTTGTGAAAAAAGTCCGCACGGATCGCGGCAAAGGTCCACGTTGGCGTGGCGGAAAAGGTGGTCGTTGGGGCGGCAAGGCGAAGCGCCACGGTAATGCGGAAAACTGACAGTTCAATCGGCGAGTGCGGCTTGCGCCCGCTGAATCCGCGTGCGCGCGGCCCAGTGAAACACGGACTCATCGGCGCGACGCACGTCCACGCACGGGGGCCCGTGGCGAGTCGACGACGCCGACGGGGCTTTGGAGTTGACTTCCTCTCGAGCCACGCGCATACGAGCCGCACTGGGAGCAACAGGAGCCGCTTGCGACTCGCAGGCTCGCGTCGTTACAGCAGCAGGCTCTGCCGCGGCCCCGCGTGGTGCGCTGGGAGCAGCCCACTGCGGGCAGGAGAGCGTCCGGCGGCACGACGGCGATGACGTGCACGACTGCTCGCAGGCGAGCTCGACGGCGACGGACGGCGTTGCGCACGACTGCGTGCGCACGAGAGTAGGCCGGCGGGGACTGCTACCATGGCACGCGGCATCCCAATAGTAAAGACGGCGCTGAAGGCGGGAGGGAGAGGAAATGACGGCGATGGGGTTGAGAGACGAGGAGGCGGGGTGGATGGTGCAGTCGCAGCGCGTGGAGACGAGCGATGAGTCCGTGCTGGGAGCGGCCGGATGAAGAACGACGTTGGAGGGAAGCACGGGCAGAGAGCTGGTCTTGAGCAGCGACGAGGGGGAGAGAGCACCGCCCATACTGACTGACTGACACGAAGAACCTTGAAGCTGGGCCATTTAGCGTAGTTAGGCTCAAAATTAAAAGACAGAGAGACACCCAGGGCAATAAAATGTAGCGCTGCTGAAGAATGAATTGGTTGGAAGGGTCATGTTTGTGGGTCAAATTGGGGAAAACTCAAGGCAAGGCTATATCTGCCTCGAAAGCTTCCAGTGAGGGACCCAACGGCCCTGGACGGAACGCAGAGAAAGCGGGCCCGCCACAGGCTTGGGGTTGCTGTTGCAGACGAACTGGGAGAGGTGGAGGCCTAGATGAGGCAATGGTTTCCCGTCAACCGCCATGTGCGCGGTCCTAGCACTGTTCCGCGCATCATGCAGGAGAGGGGAGTAACAGTGAGCACACATGCACTCAGCGACGGGGGAAACAGTGCGTGCTTGTGGCAGCATTCGGAAGTTGTTTTTTCCGAAGGGACCCGTCCTGCCTGAGCTGGACAATCAAAACAAATTATCTTCTGAATGCCGTCGTGTGAACTGAAATCATTGGGTGCTTTATGTCTGGCATATGGCGTACAAAGCTGTAAGCTACACTTCAATCTGCCCCTCACTACTGTAGTCCGAAATCAGGGACCTTTTCCTCTGATGGGGAGATATACTAAATCTATACAGAAATACACGAGCGATGGATCTGCAGCATCTGCCCCGTTCACGTTCAGTTGAACAGTACATATTCCAGCTGTCGAAGTGTTGCCTCACTTCCGATGATGGTTGGATGTTGGAAGAAGCATCGCTATAGTAGGGTATCCAAACTGGAGATTCCTCCACACCAGCGGTAAGCCGACGAGCTGTTTTGGATGAGATTGGCTGACTGGCTCAACACATCACCAAGGAGCGTGGCGTGGGGATTATTGGACATGTGCACCCATAATCAGGGGTGTACGAATGAACTCCACCTTACGTTAAACCTGCGTAAGTCAACTACACCAACTGAGATGAAGAATCATCACCAAAGATTCGTCGTCACCGTTGGCACTTCGCCGCAGAAGGGAACGTGATGTCGAGTTTGCTTTTCAAACCGTACTCAACCTTTGTTTAACTTACAAAACGCGTTTTACCACGTACAGCATCGCACCGCACCGTAAGAAAGTGCTTGTGCGACACGCCCCTAACCGTGAGTGCAACGGCAGTTGTACTTGCTACGAAAAGCGACACCAGGGGGAAAAGGAGCTTCTGGAACAACTGTAGTCGGCGTGGTCAGCTCGAGAGAGAGGGGGCTGGATTGTCCTTTACAACACAAGTTGGAATGTGTAAAGCAGCAATTCTTGGTATCGCACAGTGCAACACGCGTGAAAACAAAACCGCGTGACAGAACAAGGTGGTTCATGGTAACCAGGTGTGCAGCGCTGTATGAATGTACATCAAAATCAGCATTTTTCAGTGGTATGGATGCACTCCCAAGATCTAATACCTACTCTAATCCATTCCTCACCAGTTATCAAGTATTCATCTCCATGCAAGGAAAAATGATTCTCTGGAGATCACGGAAGCTTACCTTTCTACATTGATGCTCGTGCATTTTAATTGACGATAAATGATTGCACTACCACATTAGCGTTAACATCTATCCTCCTGGCCTGACAACTTACAATACACACGTACAAGCGTGTTTTGAGAAGCCTCGAGAAGGATCCAGCTTACCGTATGGCCCCGGATATAAGCGCAGGCCTATTATAAGCGCATGCGCTTGTATCTGGAGCAATGCGCTTATGGCCGATCCTCATTTATAAGCGCACCCCCTGTAAAGCCTTGATTTATTATAAGCGCACGTATAATTCTAAAATTTAAACCAGATTAAAACGGTAGCGATTTCAAATTTTGCAGTGAGGATACAACTATTTTCGCTTCGATTGACTTTCGAGGACCTCACATACTGCGCGTCCAGTCAGTATGAGCTGGCATTTCTGATAGTGACGTGTAAATTTTCCTCTGTGCGCCGGCAGAAAATCGCTCACGCGCGAATCTGAATTGCGACTCGCTACCACTTCGATTCGATTGAAATCACAAGAAGGATATGTACAGTTTGGTGCCAATGAATTATAAATTTGCATTTGTTATTATATAAGCGCATGCGCTTATAAATCTGACTCAATTATAAGCGCACCCCCCCAAAAAACACTGTTTTATTATAAGCGCAGGTGCGCTTATATCCGGGGTATTACGGTACGTATCCCTAAACAGGCAGTGCATGTACAGCAGGTGTAGCCAGGGATGGATGCGTGGGTTCATGCCCACCTCATCATGCCATGCACCTCTCAGAATAGGAATGCAACGGGATGCCGAAACTAGAAAGTGTGAGAGTACAAATATGCAACCCTAACAATTGTACTCCCTATTGTGATACTCACTGTAGCCTACAAGCATAGAATTACATTTGACACACCCCCATAGGCTAAGTGAGGGGCGTCAAAGCAAGCAAGGTGAACAAACGGTCACAAGACCAGTCAGAGCAAGAAACAAGGCAAGCTCAGGGTGGATCTCAAGGACACCACACAAATTCCGAGCGCAAGCAAGCGGCCACAAGGCCAGTTCAAGAGTTCACTAGGATATAAATAGGAAGCACAACAAGCAGAGCAAACAACAAGACTACAGCAACCGAGGGCCTACCTCAACAAGCCCCAATTGCACACAGAACCTGTGGTGATCACCAAGCGCCAAGGCCTTGGTGAAGACGTCTGCGGTGTTGGCCTCTGAGGCCACAAAGTCCAGGCGTGCCTGGCCGCGTTGCTGCAGCTCTCGCAGGAGGAAGTACCTCACGTCAATATGCTTCACTCTGCTCTCCAGTCGAGGCTCTCGACAAAGGAGGATCATAGCCTTGTTGTCAGCGTACAAGGTCGGTGCAGAGCGAGGCCGCTCACCAAGGTCGGCGAGCAAGAAGGTCAACCAGCGAAGCTCCAGTGCTGCCATGGCACCAGCGTAGATCTCTACCTCTGCACTGGAAGTAGCCACAGAAGACGACCGTCAGCACCAGCTCCCAGGCTGAAGCAGTAACCCTGAGTCGAGCGCTGAGTCTCCACGTCGTCAGCGTAGGAAGAGTCGCAGTGACCAGTCAACACCACTAGCTGAGTCCCTCCAAGCACAAGCCCCATGCCTGATGTAGTCGCCAGGTACTTCGCCACCCTCACAGCAGCTGTCCAGTGGACAGGACGGTGTCTCCCAGTCGCAACAAAGCGAGAGAGGATGCTGAGGGGAAAGGCGAGGTCCGGCCGAGTACAAGTCATCAGGTACATGAGGCAGCCCACAAGCTCTGCGTAGGGACCACTGAGCTCAAAGGGCTCGTCAGGAAAGGGGCCAGTGAGTCGGTGGTCAACAGCAAGAGGAGTGGGCTGTGTGGTGGAGAACTAGAAGTCGAACTGCCGAAGGACCTGCTGCACCATGTGTGACTGCGTCAGTGTGATGGTGCGAGCGGCTCTGTCCCTGGTGATCTGCAAGCCAAGGTAGCGCTGCAGCTCACCGAGGTCAGTGCACTTGTGTCTCTTCTGCAGTTCGGACTTCACATGAGCCAGTGCTGCCCTGTCTGCGGTAGCAAACACCAAGTCGTCGACGTAGACAAGGATAAAGAAAGGAGTAGAACCCGCTCGAACAAACAGCGACGGGTCGGCGGAGGACGGGCTGAACCTAAGGTCACGAAGTGTGGAGCGAAGAGTGTCGTGCCACTCACGGGGCGACTGGCGGAGACCGTAGACTGGTCGCCTCAGGCTCCACTGGGTCCCAGGTGGGAAGGTGTCAGTGAAGCCAGGAGGACGGCGCAGCCAGATCTCCTCGTGCAGTCGGCCCTGGAGGAACGCAGTGGAGAAGTCGAGGGAGTGCAGCTCGTAGTCTCGCTGCGCTGCTATGTGGAGTAACACCCGAAGAGTAGTCATCTTCGGGGTCGGGGCGAAGGTCTGGAAGAAGTCAACTCCCTCACGCTGACTGAAACCCCTAGCCACGTAGCGCGCCTTGAACACCGGCGGTGCTCCAGGCGGCCGCTTCACCTTGAAGAGCCACATGCCATCGACTACGTTCGCCCTGGGAGGGGGAACTGCGTCGACGTAGGTGCCTGTGGATCTCCAAGACGCCAACTCTGAGTCCATAGCCGCTTTCCACTAAGAGGCCCACGCCCGTGACACTGCCTCGCGGTAAGTGCAAGGAGTCGGTATGTCAAGGGCGTCGGGGTCTCCCTCAGGGGAGAGCAGCATGGCACACACAGAGGGAGAAGCGGCTGCCCAGTACTCCAGCTCAGACTCTCTGTCCTCTAGGACGTCACAGCCAAGGGCAAACCCACCCCCGACGGACAGAGGATGGTAGGGAGGAGCTGGCACCATATGGGTGGCGTAGTCAAGGCGGCTAGCGGCAGCAAACTCAGCGACAGCGGCAGTGAGAGCCGAGACGGACGACAGAGGGAAACGAGGGTCGGTGACAAGAGTGGTAAGGACACGTGCGGCAACAAGACGAACAGCGCGGTAGTAGTCAGAGATAGGAGTGGGGAGGGCATGTAGAGAGGACGGAGGAGGAGACGGGAGAACGGACACAAGAGAAGGAGAACGACGACGAGACGAACAAAAGAGGGCAGTGTGAAGGTCAGTAACAGGGGACGAGTGACGAGCAAGCGGAGGACAACGAGTGATCAAGTCGCGACGGACAGAGGGAGGAGGAGACTGAGGTGGAGAAGACGAGACCGCCGGACGGTTGTCAGGAGGAGGCAACGTAGGAACAAACACAGGAGGAGACTGGGGGCGGACAGGAGGAGAGGAGGAAAGGCCAAGGGCCCGCAGGCCACTCACAGGTGGGAACAACCGCCGCTCCAGAGGAAGCTGCGGTGGCGGCTGCGGCCGCTGCAGCTGCGGCGGCGGCTGCGGCTGCTGCTGCTGCTGCGGCTGCTGCTGCTGCTGCTGCTGCTGCTGCTGCTGCCGCTACTGCTCCATAAGGTCCAGCACCCGCAGCTCCTGCCGCTCCCTCTCCAACCGCTCCTGCTCCTCACGCTCACGTTGACGGGCAGCCTGGAGACGCGTGTCGTGGCGGTGGGGGGGCGGAGTGGACTCCGCAGAACCAGGGTCTCCAGCGTCAGTCTCCTCAGACTCAGCACCCCCAGAACCAGTACCGCCAGTGCCAGGACCTCCAACTCCAGCACCCTCATAACTAGCACCGCCAGTGCCAGCACCCCCAACTCCAGCACCCCCAGAACCAGCACGTCCAGTGCCGGCACCTCCAGTTCCAGCACCCCCAGAGCTAGCGCCACTTGCGCTAGCACCTCCAGCTCCAGCACCCCCAGAGCTAGCGTCACCTGCGCCAGCACCTCCAGCTCCAGTACCCCGCGACCGAGCACCCCCAGACCGAGCACCGCCAGCGGCTGCACCTCCAGCTCCAACACC